TGATGATGATGATGATGATGATGATGATGATGATGATGATGATGAGATGATGATGATGATGATGATGATGATGATGATGATGATGATGATGATGATGGCCATTAAATATATTTAATGGCAGTTAAATCTGATTTTGTTATGTAGATTAATTTGATCAGGAATACAACAGCTGTAATGAGCATTAATGTAATATTATTGAGGTTAATGGCAGTTAAGGTAGACCTGAAAAAAAAATCAAGAGAGGATGCTCATTACTATTCAAATTCAAAATAAAAAAAAACTTTGGCCATTAATGAAAACTGCAACATGAGTAATAATGTCCATTACCGTTAATTTAATGTCAGTTTCTGATTTTTAAATACTGAACTGAATGATTTAATTTGTATCAAATGTCAGTATATTATCTTATTAATGGCTTTTTATATGGATGTACAGATGACCATTAAGAAATTACAAACAAGTTTTGATAGGGTGTTTTAATGAGTTCAGTTCAATACTAAATTAATGGTATTTTAATGATTGTTGCATGTGTTAGTCTTCATTAATGACATGTTAACACTGTAGTTTGGTAAGAGAGAGAGAGGATTTGATTCGCGTAGTAAACAGTCTTTGTTGTTAATGATACAAGATATATGAGGTAATGTAAAAGAGTCTGTGTCAAATGGTACAGGGTAACAAAGTATGTCCTTATAGGCTTGTCAAAAATATAAGGTATGTCCTTATAGGCCTGTCAAAAATACAAAGTATGTCCTTATAGGCTTGTCAAAAAAAACCAAGGTATGTCCTTATAGGCTTGTCAAAAATACAAGGTATGTCCTTATAGGCTTGTCAAAGTACATGATATGACTGATCTAAATTTGAAGGAGGACACAGTTTGTTCCAGGAGTATTGCCATTGAGTTAAGAAAGGTTCTTGGTGTTGGACTATCTATCAGAATTAGTAATTTCTTTGTAGTCTTTGATCTGCTCTATAGTAGTGTGTATGACTATAATTGTACCTGACCAGCATAAGTGTTTTGCCAATTTTGATAAAAAAAATTCTCAAATTAACTTAAAGTGAACTCTCCTTCACTTTTGAGAGATATATTGAAACTTTTAGAATGGGTAAGTAAAAAACAATTTTGTCAGTGTAGTAAGCATGTGGTTTCTCACTGAAGGATTTCAGGGCCTGTGGAAACAAGTCATTTTTGACACATTTTTGATGATAATTGGCAAATTGGATTTAGATAGTAACAGCTGTCACATGTAGTGCAGCAAATGGTTTCCCATTGATATGTTTCCTTTTCTCATTCACTTGAACTCTGACCTTTGCATTTGAACTTTTATGAACTTCACATAGATGATGTGTATTTAGCATTTAAAAAAAAAAAATCAAGCATTACACAGGTGTTCTGTCTGTCAAAGAGTAATCAGGGACATTAGGGACTAATGCATGTTGTGACTAGAAAGGGACCAAAGTGACAGGAATGAAAATTGAAGTAATCCAAAAATTAGAATATAGTTCAATAAGTCAGTAAATTTTGGATATTGAATATGCTGTTAAAAGAATTTCAACATATTAATTCTAAAAAAACAAGGTTAATGTAACGTTATGCTTTTTTACCATACCTTGAAGACAATTTGTCATGATTTGGCAGTGTGTTACCATAACAATGTGTTTAGGATAAGATTTAAATTGTCATTATATTTAATTGATATTGTATGCTGTTGAAAAGATGTTTTTTTCTTATCATGAAATGTTACAATACTGTAACATGCTCACCTATCACCTATATATGAATTCTATCATACTGTAGACCCTTCCACAGTGGGACCCCTAACACGCTTCCATCCTTCCATTCGGGCCTAGAATAATATTACTTAGAATATTTGTTTTACAATTGTTGATGAATAAAGCTTATTTCAAATATTATCTACAGTTGTTACATGTCAATTTGAACTCTTGTATGTTAAGACTGTTGTTATCGAATGTTCTTTCCAAGGTTTCATTAAAAGCTTGGTGAGAAAGAGTTGACCTTTATACTTTGTTGAACACATTGATTATTGTATAAGAAACTACCCATACACAATGTACATGATAAATGTGAATTGATATTACCGTAATTGTTCTATTGACAAATTATAACCTTGGTATCAAAAGAACACAAAATCACTATACGAGATATTTACAAGTACCTCTGTTTGACCAGGACTACAGATTATCAATGTGGTTGATCAATTTGATCATATAGGGTAATACACATGGTCAGATTTCTGACTGTCACTTCAATACTTTGTAAATCCTGTTCTTTGTCCGTTTGTACGGGCTGTTTGTATGTCCAATACGCCATAAAACCAATACATTTTATTTTCTTAACGTTCTAATGATATACAGTTATCGTAAAGTGATAATCCATAACACTGCTTAAAAGCACTAAGACCATGTGAAACCTTTTTCGATGTGTAATCTTCTTATGACTGGTAACACAGTGGTACCAGGTAAAGTTACAACACAAGACTTTATAGGTGAAAGGGCGGTTTAAATGATGTACATCATAAGCATAAAGCTGTGACACTCAAATAGGATTTCAGTCTCAAATGTACTTGAATCTCTCTGACAGGTACCCTGGAGTTGATTTAGTGGGATGAAGTGGGGCAAAGTTACTGTTGTAACAACTTATTAAATCCAGAGTACTAGAATACTGCAGGCTAGGCCCCAGATTAAACACCTTATGCTGTGTCAGGCGTAGTACTTAACATACATTTGTAATTTCTTTACCATTACTAGTGGAGGTTATTAATTCCTTCACCACTGTCAAGTGGTTAAAGTATGATTCATAAGCAAAGGTGTATTTCAACACAGTTGGTTATAGAAATGTTATGTCGCAACAAACATTATGTTTGTAAGCTTTGGTACTGCCAGGACATATGTATATACACACCAACAAATATCAGTATTAACTTTCTACCACTAATTCTAAAGGCACAGAGAGTCTGAACAACACTTTGTTGAACAAATACTGGACAAGAAGTGTGTTTCTTAACCTAGATAAATATGAAATGGTGGCTGGTTTTGTCCTCATGTCTAACATAATCAGCATGACAGGGACACCAGTGTGTGTCTGTTGAATGAGAAAGTATACAACATTGAAAATTCAGAAGTATTCATTTCTATGACAGAAACCAAATTTAATACCTTCTCATGTGATCTCATGTTTGTAGAAGACTTTAAAAGTGCAAATCGATTCTGTTTCTACTGGATTGGACTAAAAGTTTATGAGACGGGAGGGTACACAGACATGTCGGGGATCAATAAAGAAGGATGGAAATATATGTTTACTGCCAACAGTCGACTTTGTGAATGTATATGCCTCAGGTTTTTAAATGTATAGCAGGGGATTGAAATGACCGTCAAATTTAAAACTGATTTGTGATAGAGACATTTTAATTTCTAATGGTATGTTGGGTGTATAATACATTCTGGCCTGGTTTGATTGAGTTGGTGGTATTTATGAAAGGTAAACAACGAGGCAGTTCTTTGTGGACTTTACCACCGACCAAAGTGTACATATATGATACAATTTATCCCTAGCGGAGAAAATTGAAAAGACAGCAACAGGTTTGATACAAGGCCATCTTTTGACCTATCAGAATTGTATAGTACAGCCAACTTATAAATCATACCTTCTATTGAACGATCATGAAACTAACTTTATCATGTATAACATTGCTCACCAATGATCCATATATCATGGCTGGATGAATAAATTAGGTTTGTGACAGTCAAACAGCTTGTTCCATGTATAAGTTATTGAGATATTGATATATAGGAAGGATACAGTGTGTAATTGATGGAGGAAAACATGGACAGACAAAAGGACCAGGATGATCTTGGTCGATGACTTAATTATACTGTAACTAGACGGATACCCGAAATTGTTTTATGGAATTTCTAACCTGGATGGATACATAATTAGTGAGCACATACCTTATTTTATAATGGTGTCTTTATCAAATACACCACTGGAACTTGTAATAACCATCCCAGAGGACATTAATGTAAGTAATATACATATACTGACCAACACTGAAATATTAATGTCCGCACTCTGTTGTATAACACACACGTAAAATCTACAAGTTATACATATATATTCATTCTTTGTTGTAAACATTGTAAACACAGATGCATATGCACTTCTTTACAAACTTTCAGCAGTTTTTAATCATTGTCTGTAACATTACTAGGATACAGGATGTTTTTTCCTGTATGTGACAGGAGTAATGTTGGTTTTTTATGTCATTAAGTTGGTTTTTTTTTTTGGAGTGATAACGATTTGACATGTAGGCTAAGACTGAGATAAACAATAAGTAATATATTCAGTTTCCTATCCAAATGTTTTGACAGATTTAACTCCAGAAACCCTGAAATATTGAGTCAGGAGCACAATTTCTCCACATGGTGTGCTGGTAATTTATTTTTTGACATGAAATATAACAACTACATCAATTATACTGATATAATATTCGCTAGGACTTATGTTAACTTTGACAAATTTCAATAATATTACATCTGTAAAACACAAGTAGATCAATTATAACTTAAAACTCTCAGATACGAAAACTTAGAAATGATGAGTATTTCCAGACAGGATACCTTGTGACTATCTTACAAAAGTAACTGGTTATCTGATGAATGGTACACAAAGTAGTAAAACTATCTGAAGTTTAACATATTAAAATTATGCTTACCTGACAAATTTCCTTAATTGCGATCTAAAAAAATGTATAACAACATAACATTCTTACAAACAATAAAATTTTATGCTTAACTTCCAAACATACAAGACGTCCAAATGTTATACATTGGTATACATTTGAGCACTATGCTAGGGATTTACAAATGTACAAACTAATGGAATTCTCAGGTTTACACTAGACTTACAACATAATCATTCATCACGCAGTGTTGTTACTGGAAATTTGTACTAGAAATTTACATTGTAACTATCCGACTCACAGTTGGAGCTTATATTAGAACTTCCTGACAACATTGACGTAAGTACTTCATGCTGAATGTGCGCTCAGTGACGTTGATGATAACAGACTAACAGATTGATAGACTGCTACCTGCTTGTTTGGATGTGTATTTGTATTTTCGCCTGATAAAAATGTCAGTAATACACACTAAAATCAGGATGATGTTTTGTGCTTCTGTTGAATGTTTGCATGATATTGTAGATATTAATAATTTGGTAAAATGGACTTCAAAAATAAATATATTGAGTGTTTGTTTTTTTACTGAGTGTTTGAATTTTTTTGTTTTTGTTTTTTTTCTGTGATCTGATTTTCCATCCTTTTCTTTGAAATAATTGTTATATAAGTATTTATGTTATTTCTTCTTTTTCTTTGTAAAAACGCTAAACCTTTATCATTTTTGTGATGTCATGTGCATTTGGTTAGGAAGGTGCTTGAACAGACAAACCAGTGATCACAATAAATCACCTTCTTGTAATGTGTATATGAATGTGATGACTTGTTTAAAGAGCAAGGGATCTAGACACTTTCCCCAAAGGCCGACATATGTTGGTCAAAATTCAATTTCATAAATGGAATTATCCTTTTTACCTCAAACTTTAATTATTTGCAATCTTGAATGTGTTTATTTGCAAACAAATTCAAAAACATATTAAGCTGTCAGAAAAAAAGTCTTGTGTGGGACCAACGGAGCTATTCTCATATACATTAATTGTGAGACGTATTTCACTTTTCGAAGTTTTCAGTTATAATTAGAGATAGTAACAGTGCACAACGTCCCCAGTCCGCTTATCTCTGCAGGTGTGCATATCAAGTTTTGAATACTAATACTTTCATGTTCAAGTCTACTTGTAATCGTCCATTCAAATTTTAACAGACAATTTGAAAGGATTTTTAAGCTTTTCTACCGATGTTTTAAGTGTGTTTTGTGATATTTTGGCTTGCGTTTTTTTTGTATTTGGAGCTTTATGTCAGTCTCTGTAGGATTTTATATAAGCATTGTGTTTATATCTTAACCTTGGACAATTTTGTTCCTTTTGTCTGCTATTTAATTCTTTAATAGTGTATTGTGAATAAAATATACAACAAAAGGGATATGTACTTATATGAACTTTACAACATGTAATTCTCTGTTCATTTTAGGAATCTGTTGTAAGAAATGACATTATAGGAGTCATTTCAAAGTGAACAAAGCTTTTTATAATTTTGTTTGAAGATATTGTTTCTCTGCGGCAGTTTTGTGTTCAAGATACCGTTAAAAAAGCCATAGTGTTTGATAAATAAGATTTATGTAAGACCTATTTATTTGATTATACTTCGCAATTTTCTTCTCAATGACTCATCACACCAAGGTGATATCTTTGAAAAGTTATTTATTGACAAATCAAAAATGAAATAAAACAAAAGTTAAGCATGCTTTATTGTTTCTTGTAAACAGTTGTTTGGCTGTTAATCATTTTAAAGTATGGTCACATTTAGCTAATTATTTGCTGACTGCATGAAAAGATTGAATATTCACATATTAGCTCATATGATTCAGAGGCTGTACCATGCACATCATATTATGTGTTCCATCAAAAGCCATTGTTTCTATATCAAAATTACAGTAAAGTTTGTTTGTGAATACCCTTGACATATAGATATTAAAAGTTGTTTAAGTGGAAGTTTAGGCGTCCTTCGAAACTGTGGTCAAGGACCAAACTTGGTAAGGTAACTTTCACCAAAGGCAGTTTTCTGTTGATGTGGTTTTTATCAATGGAAAGTGATTTGCACTTGTTGTTAATGCTGATTATTACATTGTCTCTAGCTGTAGATCAGCAATCATTGTCAATGTTTAATTCATTCCTGTATACTTTGTCTTCACAGGATCTTCAAAATGCGTTTGATGACGCTTTTGACCGATATCAGGGCATGCCTGGGTAAGTCAAATATCTTAAGCTTTCAAGAGATATAAGATTCCTGATATTATAATTCTGACCAAGTAGTGCACAACCTGCAAAAAATGTGGCTTCTTTTTTTAATAAAGTAAAGAAAGTTAACTTGAAGGCATACAAACTAATTAATTGGCTGCCAGTTCTCTCCAATATACAATAGGTGAAGGATATTACAATTGGAAAGTTAATAACAAATAGGTGTGTTGTAAATGACATGGTTTTACCCACAGAACACCAGCAGCACTAACCAAAGACAAACTGTACAGGAATGACAGCACTAACTTTGAGGGTAACTGGCAAGAGAGGGCAATAGAGAGGTAAGGCAATACATCAGAATGACAACAATATTGAAAAGAAAAATGGAATTACTTCGGCTTTTTAACAAATGAAACACACAAAAAAAGTGTGTATACACCAGTGTATGTTTTTGTGTGAAGTTGGATAATGATGTGATACATGTTTGTTAGAATAACATTTATATCAGCAGCTAACAGAACAGAAAGATACAATTTTATCAAAACTGCGAATCTTTTCTATGACCACTCTTTAACGACAAGCCAATCTTAGGCGGCTTTTTTTATATACTGTGCAAGTATTCGTTATTCTTACTAAAAAATCTTGAACAGGATCGCGTTCAATATGGCTTTCCATAAATTGTTTGGTAAAGCACTCTATACTTACTAAAACAACACATATTTCATACATGATTTACCTTTGTGCATCTAAAAGAACACATCGCATGCTAGATACAGTACAAAATGTAGGACATCACTAAGCTAGGGAAACTAGACAAACATAATAATGCTACATGTACTTTTATTGGGGTTGGATCCAGGTAAGTGTAGGAGGTAATTAGCTAATACTCAAAACAGGAAACTGGAAAGGTGTTCAACAACATCTGATATTTATTTCAAGGTAGAGGTAGAACACCTGGCTCAGGTAAATCTAATGGAAGGACGACGACCTCTTGCCTAGAAACTACAGGAGGGCAAACACACCTACATATCTACTAGGTACAGCAAAGGTACAAATGATGCTGTCAGTAAAACATCTTCACAGTCAGCCCTAGATGTGATCAGCTGGAGGTTTAAATATCCATTAAAATAAAGCAATATTTGAGCATTGAAATGTATTTTGCTGATGATATCTCGTAAGACAGTGTATTGCAAAGTTACTTTTCTATAAACAACCAATCTTTTATGAGTTGAAAATGTGTAAAAGGGACTAAATGGTTAGGTTTTTTTTTTAGATAATTGATAAAAAACAATCCACCCACTCTGTACATCCACGTTTTAATATTTTACCATTTCAAACTGTCAAATAACCATCAATTCTAGATACAACAAGGCAGATAGATGGAAGATTCTTTCTATGTACAGCAAAGACAATACTGTTGTGTTAACAGAATCTGAATTCAAACTCAAGCTCAATGAAACTAGAGCAAAATATTAACAAAAGAAAGACTTACACAGAGACTCCTGAAAAAATACATGGAGAATGAAGACCAGATGTTTCACAACAGTAAGCACTTTCTGCTTCATCAACAACGAGCATTAAAAACGTTCAACTTCATATCACAAAAAGATTATAACGACTGTAAAATTCACTTGTCGTCTTTGTCACCTGCATCTCCTAAAACTATGTGTTGTTAGTTTTTCTATCAGTTGCTGACATCCTGCATGAAAATCATGATATTTGACACACAGTACAAAAACATCAGCTCTCAATTATTCTTAAATAGTTATTTAAGCTTTCATTCAAATTTTCAAAATACATATTTCTCCCAATTTGAAAATGAAACATTTTCATTATAATGATTCAATTCAAATTATCAAATGATACAAAACAGTTAGTACTAGCAGATAAGTTACCTCTTCAGCTGTACAGGTAAAAGCACAGATCGGTGACCTTTGGCTAAACCCATAATATAAATTAGGGATTTTCACTCATTAGCTGTCTGAACACTAGTAGTTAACCAGTGCAGTCTAACTAGTGAATTTCTAGTCTAAACCTTGTACAATACTGTGTAAAGACTAGTCTACACTCAGCTGCAGTTGGAACATTAGTTAAGACAAGTTAAAAATCAGCTTTAATGAACTTATAAAAAAGATACTGCAATAGTATATGTCAGATAAAGAAATAAATTGCATCACGTGACTGATTTGTTCGAGGACCCGTCAGTGATGTTCTGGACTTCAACAGAAATCAGGAAGACAAGTTAAAGTCAAATCAGTGAAAAACATCAGGTAAAATACAGACAGAGAGGTGCACTAACACCATACACTTCTACTTTTGTATTTTCTTAGGTATTTATTTAAAAAAAGCAAGTGAAGCACATGCTTTGCTTTATGAAATCAAATAAACTGAATTAGCGAATGTATTATAAAGACTGGGAGAGGCATCAGGATTAAAAGACAGGAGAACTACTGCTGAGAACACAGAAATAATCTAAAAATAATACATACATCAATTTTATTAAAAACAAAACAATTGACAGAGGAAGTAAAGAGCTGTTAATGGTGATTCTTGTATTTATAGCCATGTGTGAGACCGTTATTGATTTCAGTAGTCAGATGACATATTATCATTATTGTAAATGGACAGTTATTTAAAAAAATAATAACAAATAGCAGTGATGACATAATATACCATGTTAAAGGGAGTGTGTAATTATATCATTAAATAACTTCCATAACCAATGTTACATCATTATTTCATCCTATTTAGTGTGTATAACACTCATGAAGTCATCATCGATATGGTGACAATTAAGCTGACCAGGTAACAGGTGTCCCTTCTAATGTCCAGTAAATCATACTCAAATGTTTATCGTCTAGTTTCTACAGAACTATATACTCATTGAATTTTGACAAAATAATTGTGTGTCCTTGTACCCATGGTAGCAGGCAGTAATGGACATCAGAACAGGTTCAATCGATACCTGGCCCACCTTACATGTTAAGTGTGTTGTTCTTGTACATATACACACTTTGGACCAAATAACAATTACGTCTAGTCGTCGATGGTGTAAAATCAATAACTTTATATACTTAAGTGCTGTTCAAGATGACGCTACATTATACAGCGGGGATCACACTTCCTGTCTTTGGTTTTTTCTGCTTACCCTGCCAAGAGCAATGTTCATACTACTTTTGAAATGTCCTCTTTCAATTGTTTTCTATCAGAATTTTTATTGCCATATTGATTTTATTCATTTGGAATATAATAAAAAAGATGTAAAAGAAATCTGAAAGTGTGGATATGATTGATAACATAATTTTATACAAATATTTTTTCTTCTGATTTATGGCACAAATGGAATATTGTATGTTTTATCAAAAATCTGCATATCTTGATATTTATGAACAGAAGTGGAATCACATAAACATATATCAAAGTAAATTCTTAAACACTTTAGCATCACGTTTTAAAAGGATTGTAACTTTTGATGTTCATGTCACCACCATGTGGAAGGTGTGTGCACATCAATTTATTACTGATGTCATGTTTTATGCATATCCATCGATTTTTTAAAAAATTCTTATCTGAATAATTTAGATTTGCAGACATAATCTCATTGATTTTTGTACATGACATGCTGGTATAACACTAAAGAGATTACACAATGATACATACAATCTCCTTATAGAAGCTAATGTATTAGCCATTTGTGACTTAAGTTGATAACAAAGCTAACTGGTATATTAACATTTCAGCACCATTGATCTGTTCTTTCTGCCGTCATTTTACCAATACATTTTGACATTTTTACACATCCATTTTATTTTCATCAATCTAAATTGATGTAGTGTTCAAATTTTAATATTGCTTTGTAAAAACACAAAAATGTTTAAAAAATGTTGTTAAAATTAGAACAATATGCAAATGTGGTTTTAAATATCAAAGGTGGTACCAGGTAGATTAGCCTGTACCTAGAATAGGCTGCATGTCTTCTTATGTTGTCTAAATACTTATGTGTTTAAATTGGTTGTAGACACATGTTGCTGCGAATGCAGAAGGAGTTACGTTGTAAGAGTGCTGCCCAGAAACGCCAGGCCTGGGAGTCCCAGAGAGGAGGTGCCAAGAGGTCAATGTCCAGCCGTGAAGTCATAACAGATGACCCTACACAGGACCAAATGTACCAAGGTTTGTATGACACAGGGCTTCAAGGTGTGTTCTTTGCATGTAGGTTTTTAATAGCAGAGGGGGCGGGGGGTCTTTTAACATTTAGGATCAGGTTCTTTGAAACTATATATATCTATAATGTATAGTATTTGCAAGTTGCAATCATCAAGATATATAAATTAACAGATTTCACACTTTAACTGCATTACTTGACTTTGTAGGATCAAAAACAACTCGATCAGATACTTATGCTGTTGCTGCCAAAAGAGAGTTAGAAAGATTGTCCACCCTTGGAACACACAGCCCCGGCCCACCTTGGCGTTCTGTTCCTTCTCCCCCCCAGTCCATTCCTCAGCGGCCACACACAGCTTTTGTTCCCTTTCCTGTTCCACCAACTGTCGCCAACAAGACCGAACTGAAAACAGAGAAACCTTTTAGGTGAGTTGATATATTGATCAGTATATTTCCATTCAAATTGTTTTATGATATACATTCAGAACAATGTGAAAGTAAATGCATGGATATAATCAGAAGAAATTGGGAAACAGAACCTTATGACAAGACAGGGACTGATAGTATATCATTTATTGAGGAATGAGCTCGAGTTCTGTGGGATATTCCACTTATCATGAAAGATATGGTGTTAGTCATAAATCTGGCCCTGCTTGTTTTACATTGATTTCAAGTTAACTGGAATGTATGTAGTGAATGATATGTCTGAAGTAGTGAAATATGAAAGTCATGGTAATATTAGCACTCTCAGAATATTGATGACTGTTTTGGTTGACATTGAGTAAAGCATACAAAAGTCATAAATGCTATGATAATATTTCCATTTCCTTAGATTTGTGATGGGGAAAAATGGACCCCCACCTGTAAAGTTAACACCAAGGCGTTCTACTGTTGACTTTAACGTGGAGCCGAAAATGATTGACCCTCGAAACCCCAGTAGGACATACAGACCATCTACTAGCAGGTCAATACCCAGCAAGTGCAGGTAAATACAGGCTAGGATATAATGATTATATATACCTACAGCCTAAAAGTCTTCAACAACAAAGAAAATATAGACATGTCAACATATTCTTACCCCAAATTGATAAACTATGGCAAAATATGAACAAAAGAAATATTTACACAGATAATCATCATAAAGTACGCAGAGAATAAATCCAAATGTAATGGAGGGTATCTTCATTGACAACACCCGCCATGTTAATCTTGGTCAATCCAATAATGCTAAACTCATCAATCAGAAAATTAATCCATTCCAAATGTTTGCAAGTATTTTCAAATCAAATATTCCTTTAGAAATATACATCTGTGTCAAAGTTGTTGTTAATTGTTTTCGTTATTCATTGCAGTCGATACATGCTGGTGTCAAGGCCAAAAGAGAAGACAAATTTTCCCCTACCTTCACCTATTGAAGAACAACTTCTTGCTGACAGATTTCCTAATTTGGGAATGCAGGTGTATCGTCATCACTCAGACATAGCTCTCCGTGCTAAGAAAGTATCATACTGTATTGAGTATTCTCCCTTTGGTAGTTGTAGATGACCATCAGGTCCCATCTGTTGATTTTCATGTGGTTCAGCAATCCCATCATGACTTCATTAAAGTGCCTTTTCTGTGATATGTGGAATTCATGATTGTTTTCCTTTTTATAAGATGATATAGTCATCACTTTTGTATATATCTTGCATTGATTTATAAAGGAGCTTACTTAGATGTAAAGATTGATCACAACTATAAAAAGTTGGGTACTTTTGACTCATTTGGGAAGAAGTCTGTGATAAATTGTACATTTCATTTAAGTATTTCATAAAAATGTAACAACCTATTTAAGTGTACAGTACTTTGCAAGAATGTTACATTCATTTATCATTGTGATGTGTGTTCAGAATTATGCATTGTTCTTTAATTTTGTAATTGTTAAATCAATGTCAGATTGTTGAATGCTTACTAGAAATCAATTGCATAGTGTGTGTGTGTTGATTGATAGACTCGTCAGTCTACGTTCGAAATGTTACAACATGGGAAAAGAATATGACACTTTGTATAGATTTCATACCTTCTCCTTGAAATTATCCATTTTTAAAATTCAGTTAATGTTTTAATTTGTCTCAAGTAAATTGTCCTTCCCTGACACTATCTAGGAGGTTAAACATCCGTTAAAAGAGTTCAACAACAATTGCGTTTCCAGAGATTTGTTCACTAATGGGCTCTTAAGCATTAGTTTTTCGTTGTTTACAATGCATGTGAAGTATTTACATCTGAAAACTGAATTTGTATAAGACACTTAAGCTTCATTTATTTTTTAAAAGCCCATTGTTAATCTTAGAGATTTTGTATCTGAATATGAACCAGTAAAATTTCCCAAGGTAAAAATCAAACCTTTACATTTTTGCAATTATCTCGATTTATGAAACATAAATTATGAAATTTGATTATATAAATATGTTTTGTGATCTCTGAATTATTCAAACCTTAAACATGAATATCTTTTAAAAGATTTTTCTGTTACGAAAAGAACCTAGAGTAAACTAGTATATGAACAGGGTAAGATGGTTACACCCATTTTTGTGTGCTCTACTCTGATATTTCTGTGTATGGGCATGGTGTGTGTTTGTATGGTTTTGTTCTCATTGTTTTTACAGAGAATCTATTTTTACAATATATATTTACATTTTCTTTTACAGAATTATTTCCTTGTCTAGTAAACAATGCTATTTCCACAATATTGCTAGTACACATGTGTAACTATATATTGAATTATTGACCTGCCTGATGTTCTGTTCCAATAGGCTGAGAGTATGTAAATGTTACATGAGCACATGTGTTTGCAAGTCATTTTATATATATATATCTCTATAAAAATGCCATTTTTCTAATTTACACAACACACTGTGATATTCTCCTTTATTAAACAATACCAGCATTAATTATAAAACAATTGTCATTTAAATATGTTAAGTGTTTTATGTGGAGGTTCCTCAATATGAACAATTTATATTCACCTTGATGCCAAACCAGTGATGATTCTCCTATATCTATTTATTGTTATTTATACACATGCAGTACAACCAAAGCCATAAGATTTGTAGATTTAAATGTAGCTGTAACACTTTCTCAGGTCTTAAATGAAGCTGATTTGAAGTTTTCCATGAAATCGTAATTTATAAAACAGATTCACCAAATTTATTGTGGTATTATGAAGTTAACGACAAGACGTCTATCATTAATGAAGAAAATACATATGAATTTGTCTAGTCATTTAAATCTACGCAAACATCAAAAAATATAAATCGAAATGATGCAAGAAGATAAATTTTTGTGTTGTCTGTATCTCACATCAAATCTAGCATACATAACAATCAACCTATGATAAAACTAGTGTTATGTTTACAACACAATCACTTTGCAAAATCCTACATAATGTGGTTTATTTCAATATCTGTGCAAGGTTTTGTTGGTGACAAAAAATGCACAATCTTTTTGTTGCATGCAAGTTTGTAAAAAAAATGCTGTACATGATCAGAGTGATCAAATAGCTTTGTATATTTTTTTTTATTTATTTATTAGAAAGTGTAAACTTCATTTTAAGAACTGTGTAAATTGGAAAGTTTTATCTTGGTCCAGTGTGCTGATGTTTGTTGCAGTGCAGTATTCCTTATAAATGTTTTGGCGATTTACTGTATGTATCCCACAGTGTCAGAGAAATATTTCCCTCGGATGTTCCGTACATGTAGAAATAAACAAAGAAATAAAAAACATCAAACTTCTGATTTGTCTTGGCATGTCTCTGCACCAGTTTCTATCTTACACCAGGACGTGTTATGATGATGATGATGATGAAGATGATGAAGATGATGATGATGATGATGATGATGATGGCTTTTCGTCTCTGTGACTCTGCCCGTCGCCAGGCATGTAGTTTCCTTACTACTTAAATAGTAACTTGACTGGAACCGGAACTGTCCCAGTAGTCAAACAATCAAAAGAAATCAAATCATTGTTGTTGTTCATTTCATCATAATGTTTCACTTCACCATTACGGTATTTTAACCTCGGTTCTTTTCCCCATGCTCCACAATACCACGCTACACTGTAATTAATATTCATTAAATCATGTAGAATTCTTAAAATAAAATAAAACATCAGAAATTTGCAGAGTGTGATTAAAGAGACATTTTCAACTAACTCTGATGAACTTTGAGTATTTGCTTTTTGTTTTTTTGGTTTTTTTTTTTTTTTTTGAAAAAAATATAACTCAACCATTGGTATTAAAATTTTGAAAGTAAACACTGCGACATAGCTATAAAAGGGACAATTGGTCCAAATTGAGCTGGACACATTACATACATTATATAGGGAAATAAATCAGTACACTAACCTTACAACTCATTGATCGATTCTTTCAAGAATATAAGCACTGATGACCATTCTTAAGAAGTACTTTACAGAGCTAAATTGAATTTTGAATTTTTCATTGCGGACAGCAGAAAAATAAAACATCTCATGAGGTTTTCTTCGATTCCAGAGAAGATAACATTTTCGCAAATTTCGTTTGTCATTTTTGCTTGTAAAATGAAAAAATATCCATAAAGACAATACATTTTGTCCAGCAACAAGAATAAAAATATCTTACATCCTAAAAGCTATTATGCGGAATGTTTTTCATTTTCTGGTCAGTGTTTTTCTCAATTTTCTTGGCACCGTCATGCGATCACCGATCTCATAAAGAAATGAATTATGAAATACGTAGATAATTAATGTGTTTGCATTCACTGAGCGGCTTCCTGCGGTTTGTTCATCGACTACTTCGCCATCTACTAATCTACCATTATTTCTGACAATAACAATCCCTGTCTAATCTATTTGCGATATGAAAATGGGTATGTTCAACTCCGATAGCGTGCTGACAATAATATGGCGACACACGTTACTTATGATACCGAATAATTTGTGAAATGCACCGTGAACCACGCCTTAATCAATGTAAGAGCAGGAAACCCATACGTACGGGTTTTAATTAAACCATCATTCTCATTTTTCCCATTATAAATATCCTATAACTTCTATAAAGGCGTGGTCTATGTTGAAATACCCATAAAATGACTCGCTTGCCTTTCGTAAACTCCCGGTCTTAATATCCTACTTCCTTCCAAATGGTGTTTGGAAGTACTTAACGAACTACTTTTGTTGACACTTCGTCGTCTGCCTGTAAACAAACGAAATCATACTACGTGATTCTGAAGATGACCATCACCCAATGTCTACCACAGTGAGATATCCATCCTCCCTCTTCCAAGATCCAGATTTGTAGCAATGGATTAGAAAAGCATAGGAAAGTTTGTCTGAACATAATGCAAAAATACTGATTGCAATGTACCAATGTACCTTACACAAGGACTCATGAAATTTCCGTTGTAAAGTTTAACCAATACATGACGAAGTTTTTCGGATGTGTGCTCCAAAAAATAGTCCAAGCTAACTGCCAGGAAACTTAAGATGAATTGTGGGATTATTTGAGAGATAGAGACATCGATATTGTAGCTTACAAGAGTCTTTAAGTTATCAAAACAAAACGGCAGCAGGGAGAGACTATTTAGGAATACCTTACCGACAATTAGATGTTGTCTCTTCTATGTAATTGTTAACGTCCTTTCTCGAGATATTGGCTCTTCTAGTTAATTGTTGACGCCCTCTCTGGAGATGTTGTCTCTTCTATGTAATTGTTGACGCCCTCTCTCGAGATGTCTCTTCTATGTAATTGTTGACGTCCTTTCTCGAGATGTTGTCTCTCCTATGTAATTGTTGACGTCCTTTCTCGATATGTTGTCTCTTCTATGTAATTGTTGACGTCCTTTCTCGAGATGTTGTCTCGTCTACGTAATTGTTGACGCCCTTTCTGGAGATGTTGTCTCTTCTAGTTAATTGTTGACGCCTTCTCTAGAGACGTTGTCTCTCCTATGTAATTGTTGACGTCCTTTCTCGCGATGTTGTCTCTACTATGTAATTGTTGACGCCTTCTCTTGAGATGTTGTCTCTTCTAGTTAATTGTTGACGCCTTCTCTAGATATGTTGTCTCTCCTATGTAATTGTTGACGTCCTTTCTCGAGAAGTTGTCTCTTCTATGTAATTGTTGACGTCCTTTCCCGAGATGTTGTCTCTTCTATGTTATTGTTGACGTCCTTTCCCGAGATGTTGTCTCTTCTATGTTATTGTTGACGTCCTTTCTGGAGATGTTGTCCCTTCTATGTAATTGTTGATGTCCTTTCTCGAGATGTTGTCTCTTCTATGTAATTGTTGACGTCCTCTCTTGAGATGTTGTCTCTTCTAGTGAATTGTTGACGTCCTCTCTTGAGATGTTGTCTCTTCTATGTAATTGTTGACGTCCTTTCTCGAGATGTTGTCTCGTCTATGTAATTGTTGACGCCCTTTCTGGAGATGTTGTCTCTTCTAGTTAATTTTTGACGTCTTTTCTCGAGATTTTGTCTCTTCTGGGTACTTGTTAACATCCTTTCTTGAGATGGTGTCTCTTCTTGGTACTTGTTAACATCCTTTCTAGAGACGGTGTCTCTTCTTGGTACTTGTTGACATCCTTTCTGGAGATGGTGTCTCTTCGGGGTACTTGTTGACATCCTTTCTGGAGATGGTGTCTCTTCTTGGTAATGGTTGACTTCGTTTCTGGAGATGTTGGCCCTTCGTGGTAAATGTTCAAGTCTTTTCTGTGATTTTTTTCCTCTGGTAATTATTATCGTTCCCAATGTTATGACGTTTCGTCGGTGATTGATGTCTTCTTTTAAAGGTAAATTTTATGCTATATTTGAAATTTTAAAAAAAAGAGATGACTTCAACATGTAATCTGATATATACGATGGGCAATTTGGAAACTGGAAAATTGTTACATTTTTAAGTTCAATTATTTGCGATTCCCGACATTTATTCAGCAACAAGTATCAGTCGTCGTTGTCCTTGCTACTTTGCAATAATCCTTAAACCTTGACTTTTTAATTAATCCAGGCTAGATTATAGGAAAACCTTATAACATTTTCAAAAGTGTAGTATGTGTAAGATTATCCAGAAACGACCATTAGACTCCAAGATAGAATGAATCAAACAAAACACATACTATCAGACAGAGTTGAAGAAAAGACATATTAAAATAAAATAAATAAAATTCAAATAAAAAAAACTCTTTACCATTAAATACATTATCGATGGATTAGCAATGCTATACAAATTGCACATTTGATAATTCAAACACATAACTTCGAAATTTTCAATGTCAAGAAGATCATTGCTTCATTTTTTGCTATGACCAAAGATGTTATACAACCTAGAGGCGCTGTGATTGGTTGATACACTGCAGTGACTACGAAGAGTAAACAGGTACTAGCTAGTGTTAACAACTAGCGCGGCTCTCGACCAGTCGTCTGTTTAGCACCTTGAAATGGAGATCTCTTTCTACATACTCCCTGTATTAATTGTAACAGGAATAATCGGGAACATTGTGACTATAATAGTGTATCATCGGAGGCGACCTCTATCGGTTGGATGTTACCTAGCTGCCTATTCTGTAGATAATACTTTGATATTAATTTTTATACACGCTGGCCCATGGATCGCCCAGGTGGCTCGTCAACCCGAAGCTGAAAATCTGTCAGATTTTGGTTGTCGTGTAATGGAATTCGGGTACAGGATGATAATGTATTGTCAGACCTGGATATTAGTAGTCATGGCGCTTGATAGATATATTTATGTCTGTCGTCCACACACCGCTAAAAACTTTTGTAAAGTGTTCAAGTCAAAAATCGCATTAGTTATCATTTCAATAGCTGTGATAGTTGTCAGCATACATGCCATGTGGACCTATGAACTCGAACACGGCTTTTGCGTCCCTCTATTAAACAGTTTCCTGGTATGGAACTGGCTATCTGCTTGCTGCTTTAAGTTTGTACCTCTTTTCATTCTACTTTTTCTGACCACTCTTTTGGTAAGAGGGCTTTGCACACATTCTTTACCAACCGGAAACTCGGAAGCGGAGACAATATCATTTGATAATACAAAAATTGTACTTGGTCTGTCTTCAATGCATCTTGTCCTTTCATTACCTTCTGCAGTCGTCAATACGATCATGTACATTACACCGGTAACCCTATTTACTAACGTTGATTTCATTCAAGGATTTACGTACGCTATCACAGTATCAAATATCATGGAGTGTGGAAATCTGACAATTGTTTTCTTTGTGTGTGTGATACTTTCGTCTTCTTTCCGAAAATCACTCAAAGATTTTAAATTGAAATGTTGTTATACAATGATTATTCACGAGGAGCTAGTGATGACAGACATTAATGTCAGTTACATACCATGTTCAGGTACAACATCGCCGGTGTAGCTGTAACACGGCGTTAAAGGATTCATTTATCACGTGACAATTATTTGAAGTATGTGAATTGATATTGTAGGATTTATGTTGTATTGGTTTATTTACAATATGTCTGTATTTCCATTCTACCTTCAGTTTCCCGTTTAGCTCTATGTAAACCAGATAGGACTATATCAGGCTAAACACGCGTATGAATACATATTGTGTGGTCAATGTGAGACGTCCACTAAAAAGTAATTCTCGTAGATATATAGTATAAGAGACAGTATACTACATTTAACAGCGAACCGATCGGAGTAGGAAAAAAACTAGATATCTCCTAGGTGCTGTAAACAAAACTGGCCGCCCGTCACCATCGGTATCAATATGATGACATATTCGATTTGG